AATCAGTTTTAAATTTTGACCTCTTGGAACGACATGTCGTTTACCTTTTCCTTTATTCGCTAATGTAGCTGCGTCTCTTTTCTTCTTTTTTCCTCCATTTTTTCATAATTATAACAAGGGCTTTCTCATCTTTCTCCTTCTGTTCTCTATGGTATTGATAAGACTTCTCCTTTTCACTGTTAATAACAACTTTTCTTCATTGGTTTTCTTTTCAGCCCAACATAATTCTTCCATTATCCTTACCACAACCACCTCTAATATTTCTGTATTCGGATTCCGGACCCTTTTGTCAATTGCCTTTGTAATCGTTGTGGTAATTTATCTGGCCTAGAGTAATTAGTAATTAAACTTCCTAAGTATCTGAATGCATTAACTAAGTATATAATTACCTAGTTACCCATTCAGACAATAAGTTACTTGATTATCTATGATCGGTTTTGTTTTAGAAGTTAATAATATATTTGTTTTAGCTTCGTTAATTTTGAATCCAAGTCGTTCGTAAACGGTCGATAGAATGTTAGTTATCATTGAGCAAAATGCAAAATGTCGATAAATTTGTCCCAAACCTTATTTATGTCATAGGTATGTACATTTGTTAATTGTCAAATACATGTTAAATATCACTGCTTTGGCACTATATTTGGTAATTATTTTCCAACAGGTGTCCATAGCTTTCTCTATCATAGAAAATCTTTCTGTTAGTTATAAAATCAAACACCACTCTTATCAGTTTTCTTCCGTATCACTTACCACCGGTCTAGGAGGCCGCACGCTTTAAAAAGCTCAAAACATTATATTAATTATATTGCAGATAAATATTTTTTATCTGCGCTCCATATAGGTCTTGTGAGATGTTCTGCCTACTTCTTGATAATGTGGAATTGGGTTTCTATCTTCTGTTATTGAGTTGAAAAGCTTACGATATTTGCAATAGAGGTGACATGTCAAGTAATCTATAGAATGTTGCCATCAGTATGCACGGGCCGTAGATTCACTAAATGTATGTACACCTAATTTTACGATACGTTCGGCGAGTTCTGCTCTGAAGATTGGTTCTTCCGTTTTCTTACAATTAATATTCGCATAAAAACGCAGACTCTTCCTCACAATCAATAAGGTCCACCAGTTTCTTCTAGTTTGTGGTCACTAATATCAACATAACATCAGTCTAAACTCCATTTACTCGGTCCTCTTTACCTGACGGATGTTTTCTAGTCATCTAGCAGTATCTTCGTCATTAGCAGCCAATATTCACACAGACGAGAAAAATTACGATAATAAAAAAAATGTAAGGGTTAATGCCGATGCCGAAATGTTTGAGATAGTCGTAGAATCCAGAAAATTCATTGAACAGTGTCAAAATATGTTTCCTAAACAAAATCGAAACCATGATATTTAGATTACTCAGTTATTTGATTACTTTTGATAAGTACCTAACTTTTAAAGAAAATTAATAATTGAAATTTTTCTGAATTTAAGACTATAAAATGTTAAAATGAAACATTTAGAAACACTGAAACATATCGTGTAAAACTACATTTTGCTGATTAATAGTTAAATCGTTTACAGCGTATCGTATTCTAAATAACATGTGAGAACATACATTTAGGTTCAATGTAAATCTGCCGGAAGATCTGTCGGGCGTCCGACCCAAGTACAATGTGTTGGTACGCGACAGATTATCTTCTGTCACATATGCACCAACTCTTAAATGATTCATGCGTCAATTTGCAATGAAAATTATTGAAAATTAAATTTACCGAAATAATAAATGCAACTATGCTGATCATTAACTTGCTGCTTGAGTAATGAGTGGATAGTTTCGTATCGTTGAGGTTCCGCAAAATTTCAAAAATATCGTTTTTTTACTCTATACCAGTATCGTATCAAATGTATCATTACTTAGAGAAATCGAGTACTTTTAAATAAATTTATGAAAAACCTAAATGGAGTGTTTGTTTTGGTAACTTTAAATAATAAATTTACTTTAAAAATTAGTATGTCTTTCTACGACGATTACAGTAAAATAGAAATTGCCATTAAAATAAAAACAATCACCGCACAAAAGCATTTCTGATAATGGGTTCTGAATTCAAACACAATTTCAAACATGTGACTTAAGTTTCTGTATCAGCTCTAGTTCAAAAAATATGGCATATGTATCTTTTTATAATAAAACAGTGTATTTTTAGAGATCACTCTATTTTATTAAGTTTTTAAATTGTAAAACGGCTAGCTCTGCTGTCGGTAACATCTAATGTAGATCTAACTAGAACGACTATTTCACGTAAAATCACCTCAAATAGTATATTGTTTAACGTTTCGATATTTTTACATTATCAAAACATTGATATATCGATGTTATCAAAGTTAAAACATCGTTGGTTTTCAGCAGCTATCGATTTTAATTAAACATTGATTAATATCGACTAGTATTGTGTTGGTGTGAACGTTTTGTTCAAAATATTGATTAATATTTTGGTTTGGTTTCGAAACAAAAGTATCGATAGATACCCTGAGGTATCGATACTTTTTTGCGTATCTCTACGTATCGTAAAGATTCTCCTATTGGCCGTTTCTCAAACTACCCCAAACTGGACATTATGAATAATGTCCTATCAATCACTTGTGCCACAACATATACATTGCTCTCATAAGAAAGAGTACAATGAATAAACGTATTTTTAATACGGTATAACAAAACAACATATTATAAATAGTTAGTTATGTTGAGTTGGCCCGCGGCCATCTAGCTCATCTCGCGTAAACACTGAAATGGAGCATTAGAAGCATTGCGAATTTTCTACTAGACGACAGAGCGGCTATGCGAAAAATCCTATACTAAATCCTATACTATCAACTGGTTTTGTACAAATAAATAAAGCTCATAGAAGCTGTAATTCTCCAAATTATGAGAACGACCTTGCACAAAACTTTTCGTGCAAAAATAAAATGTACATAAGCGTCGAATTGAGGAATCCTCCTTTTTTGATGTCTGCAATAAAACGAGAATTTATTAACTGCACGTGGTTTGCACTAAAATTTGAGAACTGCTAATTACCAGTTGTATAATTAAAGCACTAATTTTATACCGCTTTCACTTACATTGTTTGTATTGTGAAAGTTTACACCGGCTTTCAACAGTCTTGTGTGTTCGCTTTGGATGCCTCGTACAGGGTCGGTCCATATCTGACGGAAGATGCGTCGCTTATAGGGCTGCCATGCGTCCGGAGAAAGTGATTGAGCGTGAAGCCCAAATAAATGGTGCTTGGCCTGTCCGGTTTTTGTTAGGCTTTATATTTGAATCATATTCATGAGCCAATCAGAAAAACTTGATATTTATATACATTGTTTATACTAAGATACAGAATCTTCGACAATGTAGTATACCCGGTCTTTTATTCCAAATGTCCGTCCTATAAGTAAAGTGAGTTTCGAAATGACATATGAATATAATATCTGAGACACGTATATTAAATTGATTTTACTTTGTAATTCATACAGAAAATGGATTTTTTACGTATATGTTATCTTTGTGTTCGATCTTGCACACACAACGGACATTCCGTCACGTACTAACTCATCAAACTCCTGCGAGACACTTGACGGATTCGCCCCCACGCCTTCGCATGAAAATATTCTAAATGAAAAATGTTTAAAAAATCCACTTTATCCCTGACACTCTGAGATGGGGTTCGAACCAATGACCTTTCGCGATCCAGGCGACTGCTCTTACCACTGAGCTGGACCATAGGACCTTACAGGACTGACGATTTTTTCTAGCGCTTGTTACTTTTTCGCTACTACAGAGTGTATTTTCATCAATGTTCAGGCATTATATCATTGCTAACATTTATTTATCTAGATATAGCTGTTTTCCCGCGACTCCGCCCGCCTAAATTATAGCCTATGTCACCCCCTATTACACAGCCTATGTTAAAATAGGGTCAGTAGTAGTGTTAAAGCATATATAGAATATACAAAAATAAAACAATAAAATCTTTTCTCTTTATAATATTAGTAAAAATATTTAATTTTCACTTATTTATTATCTACAAATAAGTTAAATATGTAACGTCCATTTCATAACCTTTCATCCCATTCGATCCAGTTGTAAGTAATGGCTGTGTGACAGACAGACACACTCTAAAGGATCACCTTTAAATGATTATTTTGACGAAAGGGAATCCTCAAAATATTATTAATTGAATTGAAATAAATAAAAAATATTAGCCACCGTTGTTACGCAGATTATTTTATTCGCTGACAGATAGTGATGTGTTATCATAAATAGATCCCACGTATTATGTTGAGATAAGGATATCTTTATTGCAATATAAATACGTTATATCCGCACTCATTGTCGGTAATAATAAGATATAGGAACTTTTAGCAATCTGATGGAAATCTGGGTTTCGGTTCTTTTCTTTCGTAGTAAGTTATTATAAAATTGCCATCTCCAAACGAAGTTTCTTGATTCTATTAACGACCATCACTTTAGAGTTGAGATCAGGATACTGTCAGAACTCAGACGTATAGCTCAACAAAAAATGTCAGGATATTTTCCCTCTCCCAATCTTTTTCTGTGTCTCATATCCACCATTCGATATAGCGAGAAAGAAAAATAGAGGATGCAACGGAAACCTCAAGTAGATAAGCAGTACGCTTACTTCTCGCTCTAACAAAAGGCGATTCTGAGCCATCGAGAAGGTTCCTTTATATGAAAAAAATAAAATAAAATAAAATAAAAAATAAAATATCACGTTAATATTTTGTGGTAATTTTTTTGAAATCTAATTTTACCTTTGCTTTAATAAGCGTATTCATTTATTTTATTTAAAACAAATAAACCTTTATGTATACCAATAAAAAGAAATTACTCGATGTAATAAACATTACAGCTTGAAACATGAAATCCTTATTCTTATGGGAGCACCTTTTTTGCCATCACATGCTAAAGTAGAACGAAAATAACAATCGGTGTGTCTGTATGTGTGCAGGTTGGACGGATACCAGCGGACCACCCGCTAGTTGGGGGGCACAAAGGACCGGTGCTGGACATCGCTTGGTGCCCCCACAATGACAACGTCATCGCCAGCGGCTCAGAAGACTGCGTCGTGAAGGTGAGCTAGTGTAGTGGCAAACTCGAAACTTTCCTTATTCGAATTGGTGGCATGAATACAAGTTTTGAAGAGTCCACTTTTTCTTTACCACACATTCTCCTTTTAAATGTGGAAAAGAATTATCGCAACAAAAATCTCTTTGTTTACAGACTTATGATAATTTTTAAAAATATATAAGAAGGGTAGAAACTGTCAAATAGTTTGCAATAACTTTAGCAAAATGAAATTAATGTTTTGTGTGATCTTCTTTGTATAATAAGGTATCTTGTATGTTCTTATTATATTTTATCAATTTAGAATTCACAATACTATATCGTATAGAAAGATACTCTCCGGACTCTAGCAGCTTAATTGTAGAAAATTATTTAGAGCAGTAACGGTATTTTCTTACAAGTCCAATGCAAGATATCTATGGAAGCAAAAACTTGCAACCACTATCTATTACTTAATATGCACGTATTTCACCCCTATATGGAGCATCCTCAGAAGCTGTTACAATTAAATAGACAGGCTATACCTGTTGCTAAATATACACTTTATAATTTATCTTATACAAAATTCGATATTTTATCGTCGAGGCTACACTCTAAAAAAAAAATTGTTAAATCAAACAATATTGTGATATATGTGACCAAGCATCTTGTTTCCATATGAGCCTGACAAGATGTTAGATACATTAAATAAGATGGTTTTTATTATTTTTACTATAGTTACTTTGTTAAGATAGTTAAAATTTCATTAAATTTGATCATTATAAGTAACTATAGCAACTACCTCCTAGTCTTCAATTTAAATAAGATCGTAGTCGATATGTCTATGATATGTGACTGTATGAACAATTTACCACAGTTGATTCAACCAAGAGGTTGGTAAAAATTAACATGAAACGTGGCTAAACTAATCAATTTACGAAAGTTAATTTGACCAAAGAGTTGGTCAATTTAACCATGAAATATGTACTTGCCAATTTACCTTAGTTCTTTCAACCGATAGGTTAGTCAATATAAGCATGAAACATCGTTGTACTAACCAATTTACCGAAGTTAATTCAACCAACATGTTGGTCGATATTAATATGAAACTTGTTTGTTCCAAACAATTTACCGAAGGTAAATTCTGCCAAAAGATTGGTCAATTTAAGCATGAGATATGATTACATTAACCGATTTACCAATGGTAATTCAAAAAAATCAAACTTTAGCCGTATGATCATTCTGAACTTTTGGTCCAAAGCGAGTGAGATTTTAAACTCGGACCACAGCTCAGAGAAGAGCTAGAGTAAATAACTGGAATGGTTGGCTTCGAATCCCATATTAAGTTTACATTAATACGGCATATTACTTATACAATCTAACGATATAAACTGATACCGCGATGCATTAAATGAACATCGCCATCTAGTTTGCAGACTTAAAACTATTCGGGCACCTATGAAGATGATGGGCGTGTTTCATATTAATATCGACCAACATGTTGGTTGAATTAATCTTTTTCATAACAATATTCTCGCAATAGAAAAGTGAATTTGATAAGTTTGTGTGGATTGATTTAACAAAGTCACTTGTTGGCACTCGCTTTTCTTAGTTGATTCATATAAGACAGTATTTAAATCAATCAGAATTTGATAATTATTTTAGCAAATACGTTGTTAGTAGCATGAACAGCTTAATTTTAGTTAGTCCAATAATGTCAAGTAGTTACCATTAATCATTCATGTTTTTGAATTGACTAAGTAGTCTTTGTTGTTTGAAAAACAAAGGGTTTTTTTGGTTCTACTTACGTTCTTTGTTAAACCAAATACGAGAAACTTATTACTGCAACAATAAAAATCGTCTAATCTATTACTTTACCTATTTATTTTGATTAATTTATATAAATTGCTTCAACATACTTAGTTGTTAAATTCAACTATTAAAAATAATCGATTCACACAAAAAAATCCAGTAATGATAGATACGATAAATATATTTGATAGAATTAATCAGGGTTACCGAATATTTAATTTAACCATACTTTAACTAGTTGGTTCAATGTTTTAGCTTTGATTGATTTATGTAAATAAGTAATTGTTTTATTCAATATTATGTCAACCAAGAGAAAATCGCTCTTTGTTGGCCTCCATTTTTTAGAGCGTATACATGTAAATCATGATTGGTGCAGGTGTGGCAGATCCCTGACGGCGGTCTATCGCGCACGCTGACGGACCCTGTAGTGGATCTGGTGTACCACCAGCGGCGCGTGGGCCTCGTACTGTGGCATCCCACTGCGCAGAACGTACTGCTCACCGCCGGCTCTGATAACCAGGTCACGTTCTGTTGATTATTTACCTAAAGTCGCCTTAATTATGTATAGCTAGTAAAACTGATGCAGCAGATATCTTCACCTCAGGACTCAAAGACTAGCCCCCTTATTCTCTAACTCTGGTAACTTCTGAAGGCAACTGAAATAAATTGTTCGCAGAGCTCTGTAGGCAACCGGTCATCTCGCGGTTTTGGTATTCTGTAACTCATTTTTAATTAATCACTTTCACTAATCCCTAGCCATTTGCCATGTATATATTTTTTTTATTGAGATGAAATCACTCATTGATGTTCATTTTCATGGTCACTAATGGTTACGGAATACGAAATAACGGTTTATCGATAACAGATCAAGTGTCAAAATGGAGTTCAGCGTAGATGGCCGATATTGACATTTCGAAATTTCTGAATTTGTGAATTGATAGAAAATGCGAACAAGTGATTTCGAGTTTAGGTTGTCAGTTGAGTTAGTGAATAGGCTTGCAGTCAGATAGGGCGGTGTAATTTGCTCGAAACGAAGTCGCATAGAGCACTCATGTAAATTTTTGTAAAATGGATATTCTAGCGTTGTTTTTACATGCAGATTGCGATATGGAACGTGGGTACTGGCGAGGTGCTGCTCACTCTAGACTGCCACCCGGACCTGATATACTCCGCCTGCTGGAACTGGACTGGGTCCAAGCTGTTAACTACCTGCCGCGACAAGAAGATCAGGTATCTTTTACTATAATAATTGTATCTGTATATCAGTATGTAATTATCATCATAATTAGCTTAATAAAATTATTTTTATTTTTTTTTATTGAAATAAAAACTCTTTGGATTAGGGATGACTCCTAGTCCTTTAATTTATAAACATTTCTATAGCACCCCCCTAGTGTATAAATTAAGATCACACAATTAGAATTCTCTATATGAATAAAACAGAAAAAATCATCTGTTGCTGAATGTCTGGCTAATTCTTTTCAATACAAGGTTAACCGCCGTAGGAACCGATGGCGCAATTTTTCCTCTTTCCAAGTGTTTATAACAATATAGACTGTATAAATGATATTATTGAATTTATCTTTCACAATATAATATTGATATTAATCTTATATAAAACTAGTTGTAAATTATAGCCTAAGGACCCCGTGTGTGAAAAAAATTTCATATTCTGATAAATATATCCGAAGATTACCCGCTACAAATAAACAAAGTTATAAATTTTATCTCTTTTTAATTGATATTGATATTATAAATGTGTAGATTGTCTAAAAAAAAACAGTATTTTTTGGTTACCTTCTCATCAGTATGAACGCATATTATTCTTAGGATAATCGACCCCCGTAAAGGAGAGGTGGAGTCCGAAGCGATAGCGCACGAGGGCAGCAAGGCCTCTAGGGCTATATTCCTCAAGCACGGTCTAGTCTTCACAACAGGGTGAGTTATATGTACCATTTAATTTTGTTCCCACAAAGTACTTGTACAGAATATTAGTATTATGTAAGCAAAATTGTGGTATCTTTCCTCGCTTCTTGATAGTGGTAGCTGAATCTCATAGAATAAGGTTTAATGTACTTACATCTATACCAACTTTTATTTAAGTATGAAATGTTGCGATGAAATAAACTTTAAAAAAAATAATAATGGTCCGGTGGACTATCTTGACCACGGTTTTTTTTTTTTTTGATAAAAATTCGAGACTTTATATAACTTATATAGTATTCGTCTGTATAAAAAATAGCAAGCTAAAACTGATAGAAATCTTTGAAATATAGAATTTATTGCCTTTACGTTAAAGTGTGCAATCTTTTTAAAAATCGAGACTTGTCACATAAACATCGTATTCCCTTTTCAAAATATATTACATTTTGAAAAGGGAAAGGGATCATCAGTCATAGAATACAAAACTAGGCAATTGGCCTCCTGCTCTGCGCAAATTTACCATACGCCACATATCAGCAAGGTCACTGAACAGATAGAAATTTGTACGTTGACCTTTGTTATGACAAAATTGGGTAAATTATCTCTGCTCGGCGACCATGCTATAGTTGTATTATGCCAATCAAACTTTTCACAACTGACAGACCAACAGCTTTGATTCACAAATAGGTTTGGTAACTTGAGTTATACACAACGCTTATGGTGGTCCCCCCCACCCCCCACACACACACCACCATAAACGTTGTGTATAAACATATACGTTGTGTTGTGTAATTTTGTGTCAGAAAAACATAACAGTGGCTACCGTAAACGTTTTGCCGTTTTATGACTCAGATTCAATTACAAAAATCAGTGTGCCGTTTGGAAGTCCTATTTTTCAAATAAACAATTTTGAAGGTTCCGAAACGTCATGAAATCAAATATAAATATGCTACACCCGTTCAAAATAGTTTTATTGAATTACTAATGTGCGTGATAATATAATCAGTCCAAATCTTATTTGGCTTGAATAATAACTTGCTGTACCTCTGGTATGTTATCCTGGGTGTAGGTTCAGCCGCATGTCGGAGCGGCAATACAGCTTGCGCACGCCCGACGCGCTCAGTGAGCCAATAGTGACTGTGGAGATAGACACCAGCAACGGCGTCATGTTCCCCCTCTACGACCCTGACACCAACCTCATCTACCTCTGCGGCAAGGGAGACTCCGTCATCAGATACTTCGAGGTCAAATACCATTTATTACTATCACCATCGATCTTCAATAGTAACTTATTAAAGTTCAATAAAATCCTACCATTTCAGGTTTGATTGCAATGTTGCCCATTAAATGCCCATTAATGATTATCTTAATCAGTGCTAAATGGATATTGCCTGACGGAGTACGAAATATGGAATCGCATTGTATCATGACGTGGTTTCGTTTGTGAGAGTCTAAAAAAGTTCATAATATTAGATTTTTTTTCGTCATATGATTTCATGTCATATGCAATCATTAACAGACCATTTATGTCTTCGCTGTTAGGGCTCAGACCTTCCGTCGATCGAATCAAATCGAATTGAGTGAATGGGCTATGGGCGTACCCAGTGAGTATTGGTGGGTGATAACGACTGTAGATACGGCTGAGACTAACGACTTAACGTGCCTTTTAAAGTAAATAGGAACTAAAGATAATAAATTTTTGTAACCCATCCTATGATTGGCCCTCCATCTTATGACTGGCCCTTGCGAGTCGTTTAATTTCCGTTTCGCAGACCGACCGCGCTAACCATTGCGCCAACGAGCTCCTTTCGCTAACGATACTATATCTATTAGGAATTCCAATATGACCTTAAAATATAACATTCTCCACTATACTCTTATTCTGTCTGAAGTAAATTTGTACACCTACTGCACCTACCTGTAACACCTACTTGTAGCAAGTTATCTCATCCCTTTATGTTATTTAGAAACGCCTTTTTAATTTTTGTGTCATACAGGTGACACCCGAGCCACCGTTTGTCCACTACATCAACACCTTCCAGACGCCGGATCCTCAGAGAGGTATATATTTCACAGAATAGTTTTCGTGCCATTTGCAATTACTATTGTCCGATATTTTTATTTACAGTTATAATTTATTCCGATAGTCATAGGATTTAATATTACTTACGTTATTGCACGTGATCCCTTCACTTTACCTATATATTGTATTTCTCTATCATCATTGGTTGCCTGAAAGAGATTGTTGCATAGCATATTACTGCATATTGATTGAATAAAATACGATATTTAATTTCGGCACCAGTATTATCTGTCTCAAATAAATAATTTGTAATGTTTCGTTTAAATTAGAATGCATACCCGCTACTACTTATGATATTTGAAATTTACCCTTGTCTTATTCAACATTATGCCATTTTTCTATTTGATGAGCGATGTGTTATAAAATAATAATACAGGTATCGGCATGATGCCGAAACGAGGATGCGACGTGGCGACCTGCGAGATCGCCAAGTTCTACCGACTGAACAACTCCGGCCTTTGTCAGGTGAATTAGAGATATTCGAATTTTTATTTAAAATGGATCTTATGTGAAGGGATCGAATCAGGTAATAAACATTGAAGTGACGCTCGCTAAATATTTGAGTTAAATATCCTGCAAATGCAACAAAAAATTGCTTAAAATCACCATTTTATTGTAAGCGTCGTGAAAAGTGATTAATTTATTTAAAATTGATTATTTCGAGAGGAATACGCTTACAGTGGAACGAAACTTTTGTTAATGAACTTGTTACTGGGATTTCGCTCACGTGGTCAACGAAATATGTTTTATTCGTGGTGAAAAGGTAACTATCACGACAAGAGATCATCTCTTGCAACACAAAGAACAAACGTTTTCACAAGTATAGAGTATTTCTACTTCAAAATTTTTTTTTTAATGCTAATGTTTTCTATCTCAAAGGAATTTATCTCGTATGAACATTTATTGGAACTTTGTATGTAATAATTAAGTATTTACTATTATATTTGAATGTGCCTAATATGAAACTGTCAGGTGGTGTCAATGACGGTCCCGCGCAAGTCGGAGCTGTTCCAGGAGGATCTGTACCCGGACACGCTCAGCGACGAGGCCTCCCTCACCGCTGACGAATGGCTCGCGGGCGAGGATGCCGAGCCCTGCACCATGTCACTTAAGGTATCATACACTACACACACTATACTGTAGCCCTGCATATCACGCAAGTTGTCATACGCTATACACTACACTATAGCCACATGCATCATATCACTCAAGATATCATACACTGTACATTACACTACACTACACTACACTACACACTATAACCCTGCTCCATATGACGTAACGAGTTATACACTATACACTACATTATAGCCCTGCGGTATACACTATAGTGTATATATACACATAACTATATATACACTATAGTGTTACACAAGGTGTCATACTATATACATTATCAATTTTACTTTGAAATATAGGTATCACACTTGAAATATATGGCATGCATCAACCACATCAAAATAGCAAACGTACACACAGAACGTTACGATATGCTAAAACTTTTAAAACCAAGACCTAACTTTTAAAACCTAATTGACATCGAATATATTTCACGTTTCAATAGTAATGAAACTGATGATAGACAGCCTCCGTAGCCGAGTGGTTCGCACGTTGGTTTCATTTCCCGGTCTGGTCAATTAAAGAAATTAACTTTACTATATTCTCTCGGGTCTGGGTGCTGTGGTACCTTCGTTGTCCCGAACACTCCATAGTATGAGGGCTTTAGCTACTCATCTTGGAATCTGAGCATGTATGTGATGTTGTCTTATAAGTATTTACCCGGAAAAGAATGTCTTAATAATCTTGAAATATTTTGTACATTTGATTTTTGTGCGCATCTTATTTTTCAATAGTTTCAATAGCATGGTTTTTTGTTTTAACTAAAAACATTTCAAATATAGCACCAGGTAAGTTATAACAATGAAAATTTATTTTATGTTGTAAATATGTGTTTAGGTTTACTTTTGTAAATAGCGATGTTGTATAACAGTTTTTATATCTTAAAACACAAAGTTAAAATTTGTATATAATTTTTGTTTAATTAATATAATATCTTTATAGAGATTCTTAACTCAGGACGCAAACCGATCACCTTATAGTTAATTTATAAGATATTAATTTAGCCAGTACAAGCAGATAACAATAATGCCAAAATACCGCGACTATGTACTTATTTGACAACTAATTAAGGCAGAAAATTGTTTGCTATTGACTGTACTGACCATTTGAATAACGCTAATAATTATGTAATAACAAAAAAAAAGTTAGAGGATATTTTAAACTCTTTTACAGTCAGAATTATGCGTGAATAAGTTCAAAATTTTATTGCGGTATTTTGACCGTTTATGACAACTGGTACTGGTGTGGCTATTTACTAGTACATATTACATTAATACAGTGTGGTAGCTTCATGGAAATCTGCTTATCGCTATCTGAGATATTATTAACTATTTTGATGAGGTGACGATTTGTGAAGCGATGTAATTATTAAATGACAAAGAATATTGTGATAATAAACTGTTGACATTGACTATATTTTTAAATATAAATTTTATGTATGCCCTAAAGTTTGCCAGTGAAAAATATATAACTATATTTATTAACGTTTCTATCGCTTGTCTGTCTACGCTATACTACGATCGTGTTTCTGTGAACTGCGAATGAATCTTCACATAGAAATTTAAAAAGTCGATTTTTCAATCGATCTTGTTAATATTGGTTACACATTTGGCAGAATTTTATAGAAAAAAATCAGTCTTTTTCTTTTACTTTGAACCTTTTACTTATGATATTATTTATTTTCTCTTTTATTTTTGCTGATATTGCATAGGTTATTTATAACTTTTCTCCCGAAAATATTCAGAATAACCTATGCAAAATCAGCTACAAATCGGTTAATTTTTTTAACCTACATAATAATCTCCACCCCCATATTTGTAGCTCCAACAGTTTTAAGGTATTAATATAATTTAAAGCAATGTCAACTGTTTAAATGCTATATAATATATTGTTTCCTGATGATCCTGTTGGCTTTCTCTAACCTGGCTCGTGTGTTTTGATGTGATTTACTTGTGATAACAAATGCTACAAAACGATACGACTCGCCTACTATAATGCATGCTTATTGAAATTAAGTTTAGATTTAATGGGTCATTATTGTTCTTTTCAAATATCATCAACATGTAATTGGGAATTTTTCGTATGCTTATGGAAAATCAAAAACACTTTTTTTTATAGCGGTTTTAGTATGTTATTACGGAAATTATATTATTACAATGTCTGGTTCTTTGAAAGATACGTTTAGCTTTTGGTCTCGACTGTATCAATACCGCGTGGTGAGTAATAGCAGGTTTTAAAATAAGATTTGTTTTTAACACAAGGGTATATGTATTTTTTTTATCTATTCCTCAAGAAAACTTGGATTAGCAGTAAATTTTTTGTTATGCTTTTAATAACAAGCAATAACTTTTAATCATTCTCTAAAGCTTATGATATTAGTGCCTATTTGCAAGATCCCAGATCCTCCCTTGTGAGATTGCTCTACAGTGGGTTTTATCAGGTAGGCCAGCCACGCTTTGACCTTGGCCTTCGAGAAAAGTACTTGTACAGAGCCAAGATAAAACGCTTTAGGTCCATGGCCCCTGCCATATCTAAAAAAATGGTATGACGGTTCCTATATTTTGTGACGTCACATTTCAAAATCTAATATTAACCTATTTGGACCGAAATACAAGTGAGCCAAAAACTTTTTCTAAATGTTTTTCTTAATTGATTGTTAGAGGCTTATAAGAGGTGCTTTTTTTTTAAGTGAAATGTAATCAATTCACTATTATCAGTAACTGTTAACTATGACTCTAGTTTAATTTTGATAATTTATTAGTGTATACGTATATGTATGTGACGTCATCCTAGGAAGGGGGGTCTGACAAATGTAACTAGCTGTAAAATAACAAGGACGGGGATGGATTCAAAATCGTTAAATATGTGTGATATAATCTATGAACGGCCTCCGAAATAAAAAATAAGTTAAAATAAACCCAATTAGAATATTTATTTGTCAAAAAATGCCATCGTTATCAATAAGATTATTCATAATTTGTTACCTTGTTCTTCGAAAAATGATAAATTAATTCACATTTTACTTCCTAGAATTTTTCGTATGTTAAGAAATAGTTTTGTTAGAGTCCCTACACTTATATCAGAAGCCATAATAAACGGCAAGCAAGTATGAAAAGAGATGAATGTCGACGAAGCGAATGACATATATGGTTTGTTTCATAGGAAGACAAGGAATTCGTGTATGGATGAGAGCGCCCCCATTTTTAGTATATGAAAGCCAACAGTTTTATCACGAAACAGATGCTATAGGCTAGGGGATCCCTAACCAAACTCCAGGAGCGTGCTTTGGTTGTTCAGGGTGGATACGTGTCGGGACGTGCTGCGCAGCAGCTGCACGTGACGAAGAAAGCGAACGCGCTTGCCGGCGCGAAGGAAAGAGACAAAGATAGGTCGCCCACGCCCGCGCATAAGCGCGACGACAGTCATGCCGGCACTCCTGCTTCTGCAACGCCGCCCCCACCCGTCACTGCAGCTATTGTGAGTATATTCTATGCTGCGGGGCTTGAAAGCTAAAGCATTGTGTTATTTTCGATTGTCGATAGATGCAGTTGATATTGTAATTCTTGTCTTGTTAATGTTAATTGATTCAATATTATTTTAAATAAGATTATTTAAATAAAGATATTTTTCTTTTGATATTAAAAAATATTGTAATGAGTATAAATTACTATTTTGATGGCATTTATGCATAACTAGCTTTTCGCCATCGGTTTCGCCCTAGTGTGTCCCTAGTGAACTGTTTATTTGGACATCGATTTCATATAAATCGGTCTAATAGTTTTGGAACCTATTCGTTGCAAACAAACGAACAGTCCAATCTTTTCTTTGTATAATATTAGTATAGATTAATTGTGATGAGCTTTTTAAATTATAAAAGAAGACGGTTTTTTATTTTAGAGTTTTATGTAAAAAATAATCGTTCTTAATCCTAAACTGTAACTTTGAAATATATCGTAGTTATTTCAATACTTCGTAATACGTAGAAATTACTATTAAAATCTAAACTCTATTGGCGTGCTTTATCCAGCCAACAAACAACAACAAGCAAAAAACTTTACACCGAGCGAAGGTATCGAGTATACTTTTTCTTTGTGCAATTTATTGTATATATAAATTCTAATTGAGCAGGAGAAGCAGCTGTCCGACCTGGTGGACGAAATCCGCAAACTAAAGTCGGTGATAGTGAAGCAAGAGAACCGTATCCGCGCGCTGGAGGCGGCCGCGCGCCCGCGCTCCCCGCCCGCTCCCGTCCCCGCCCCCGCGGCCACTCCCTCTCCCGCCCCCACTCCCCGCGACGCGTCCCCCACCAACCACCACGACGACAACATGGCGCCCGATGAAGTCTGATCACTACCACCTCTACACAATAGGTATGTTATAAAGATAATAATACGTGAAATAATCTAAATACTATGTATAACAGGCTTTTAATAAAAAAAGTGTTCCTCAAACCGTTCATTCATTCAGGAGGTATGGTGCCACTGACAAGTCAAACTTATAACACCCCTCTTTTTGCGTAGCGGTTAAAAATTACATCATAAAAGTTTAAAAAGTAATTATGACTTATAGTTCGTTCTTTTCGGCCGTGCATAGTTCGCGTTAATAAAATTGTAATATGTTTTCCGTTTGCGATGTTGTTGTTGGTTTCATTCATTTAACTTCAAAATATTTACATTTCTTAGAGTACTTCAATTAACCAAATAAAGATCTTTTCGTTAATATTATTATACGTTTTTAGTACCCGAGATGCCTGTCGCAATATCAACAGCTATAAAACAAAGCATCAACGCAGGAGAGGCAAATTAACGCGACGTGACGTTGCTTTGACGATTTTTTTAATTAATCATACACATGTATTATGTTTCCATATAAACCTCGAATGTGTTTGTGCCCCTAGCTTTAGTTAACCAATCTATAGTTGTTAAAAAATCTGGGAATAATAATGAGAACCCGCGATTTTTTTTTGTCATTATTTATGGATATTTTTGTTATAACCACTGATCGGAGTAAGGGTTACTTTTGAGGTTTTGAAGTCCTCTTCTATAAGTGTATGTAAACATTGAAATTAATCGGGAATAATAAATTAATATTTCTGAAGCAACTGTCATCAGAAATTCTGCCCCCATATCATATCAAAATAAGCGTGGAAAATATCCCCTCGCCTTTTATTTTAATATTTCGTTGACATAATATATCTCATAAAATTAACATAACAAGGGTATAACCTATATTATGGAATATTGGCTAAATTTGTTAATTTAAAATATTAAAACAATCACCTTTCATCAAAGTCATCACTAACTTCTGTTAATATTACATAATCATATCCACGTTTATATACGTTTGAAGTTATCAATACAAATAGCTCTACAGCTCTAGGTCATTGGTTATAACATATCATCTGAGATAATATAGAAAGACGATTTGTCTTAAGCTTATAATCGCAATTACAAGCATAATATAAATAAAAATTAATTCAATTTCCTTAACAGTCGCAAAATTAAGATTTAAATCATTTCCTTAATATATGATATCCCTTTCCCAGATTTTTTTCATTTACAAACTTAATATCTTGTAGGCTAAATAACTTTTGAACTTATATTTCATGAAGAGTATGTCAAAAATATGTAAGAAATCTATGTTTATCCAATTCTTATTTCTACGATACAGTGGCCTAATCGAATAATTTTAAAATCTACTACAATCACTTTGAATTTGACTTTCAAAGGCATTTACGAATTTCATATTACAACTATTTGACATGCGCTAGCAATAGTGATCGCGACGTGTTTTGGAAAATATTGAATGAACGATAACCTTTATTTGACGTCAGTCGGAATTTTCTAAGCAACATATATAGTAACAACCAGGGGTTGGAAACCGGTATATTTTTCGAAACGTTTTCATCTTAAATACCTAAAAAACACTTTGTTTCGGTTTCGTTCGAACAGAACGATATAAAAAACGATTTTGGAAAAAAACAGAATTATATTGTTTTCGGTTAATAAAACGTTTTTAACCATTTATTTTGCGTTTTTTTGCATCGCATACTGTAAATAACGTAATAAAATAAATGTACGCCGCCCTTACAGCCCGCGCGGCACCGTCTTGCGGATTAAACCGGTTTTT